TACTATATAGCGTATAGAAATAGAGAATACGAAATATAGAAAGGCCGCTCGCGACTAGTATTCTTATCTTCCTTTAACGCGCTTAAAATAAAAGTCTTAGAACGATTACGAATAGCTTTAGGCGATTCCTCCGCGCGGCCCTAGAAAGAGAATTAGGAATCTTACTAATTAACTTCTATATTAAAAAAATAAAGAGCGAGAACGTAGTATTAATAAATAGCTTTAAGATTAAAAAGGAAATATAAATCGTAAGCGATAAGATCTAGAATAGTATACGAATCGTAAGGTAATTAAGAGAGAAGTCGAGTATAGCTCGAGAACTACTTAGATAAACTACCTAGGAAAGAATCTAAATAGAATAATAGCGAATTATTTATAAATAATAAGCGACTCGTAGACGATTCGTAAGATAACTATAAAGAATTAGTCCTCGAAGAAATTTACTAGAATAGCTTAATAGTATATAGAAAGAAAGATAGAACTAGAGTAAGAGAAAATAAGCCTATCGACGCTATATTCTAACTACGTAGAAAACGTCCTAGTCGTAGAATTCCTATAAGCTATATATAGGCCTCTCGAAAGCGGAAGCGTTAGTACTATTCTAGATATATATAGAAGTAATAGGCCTAAATATTTAGCTAGCCGCGGTAGGAGTTCCGGAAATTCGACCGAGCTATATATACGATTAGTATACGTAGATAGTACGATACGTACTACTATACTATTCGAACTACTCTCGAGAAGACCTAATTAAGGTATATAAAATAGAAAGATTTAAAGACCTTTTATTTAAAGGAAAGTATATAAAGTATACGACGAGGTAGCTAGTAAGATACGATATACTACTATAGTTTAGAACGGTAAGCGCGCTTATAGATAAGAGAGTAGAGGAATACTTTCTATTTATAAACGTACTAGAGTAATAAAGAGAAGAGAAAAGGCCTAGGTCTAAAAGCTAGATAGAAAAGGCGATAAGGATAATAGCGCGATTATAGAGAGTAGCCGCTAAGTAGTTAGTATACCGTATACGACTCGTATAATACTATCTACTAAAAAAGCGCCTTATAAGGAAGAGAAGGGGTTTTATTAGTTTACTAACTTTTTCCCTTACTACTAAGTAGAAAACTCGTCTATATAGACCCTTAGGAACCGAATTAGACGTTAAATAGAAATATTATTATTATTATATTATTTATATTTCTTATCTTATTTACGTTATTTAGTTCGCTATCGAAGAGCTACTTTCTTTCTTATATATAGCGATAAAAAATAAAAAGATTATTATAGTTTAGAATAAGTATAATAATATTAGTTATCTTTATATTAATATTAAAGATATTCCTAGCTTAAGTAGATTAGTAACGATAATATTTTAGAAGATCTATTATATAAGAATCTTTATATAGCTATACTAATAAATCTTTAAATTTATAACTTTATAATCTATATTAATAGTAGTCTATAGCGACGTTAATAATTCTATAATTATTAGAAGTATCGTAAGCTACTTCTAAATATTATTTAAGATATTAAAACTCGCTAGAATTTAATCTACTATATACTTATTCGCGTAAATAAGCTTATAAATAAGATTTATATCTTTATTAATATAGAGAAGTAACGAAAGGATCGTAGAAAGAATTTTAATAAGATAGTTCTTACGCCTTAGAATAATAAGCTTATTTAATATCTAATCGATATTATCGCGCTATTTACGATTTTTACTAATACTATCGGCGCGATAGTTAGTAGTATAATAATGTAGTATATATATTAGGTCTATAATAAGCTATTTAACTATATAGAAAAATTTATAGTAAAACTAGAGCGAAAGCGACTTTTCTAGAAGGTCGCTCTATAAAAACTTTTTATAAAAGCGTAGAAAAAGCTCTTAAAGTATTATAGTAGTACCTAATACTAGATTAGTTATATATATACTATAGCTATATTATTATCGCCTAAATAGAAGATAACTATATTTAAAAAGGAAAGCTAGCGAGAAGATAATAGAAGTTCTCGATAGATATTTTCCTTTTCTACTATTTCTTATATTAATTCTTACTAACTACTCTAGAAAAATTACTATATTAAGTATTTCTTAAAGCTACTTAATAAGAAGAATTAAGAGAGTTAACTTTAAGTATAGCTATAGTAATTAACGCTTAACTTAAACTTAACTTTTAATTTAAATTCGATTTTTAGTTTATTACTAATATAATTAACTTTAACTTTATCTATAGAGTACTTCTTTAACTATAGCCTTTCGAGTCGATATAGTAGAAATTATCTAAATAAAAATATATTCTTCTATACTTTAAATAGCATTAAATATCGATATTTAAATCTTAATTTAAGTACTTTTTTCTTAATAAAATATAGTCGTCCTAAGGATTTAAAGAAGTCTAAGCTTATACGCTACTTAAAAGAACTAATTAAGGAAGTTCTAGATATATTCTTCTTAATTCTTATATAGATATTTACTTAACTTATACTTAGCTAGTAGTATATTTAATCTACTTTAATAGTAGAAATAGAATAAGGCGCGTTTTTCCTAGCTCGCTAGTATCGCTCGCGATATTCTAGCTATTTCTACCGCGAGTATAGAAGTAGAAAGACTATTTAATTAAGCTCGAAACTTTATCTTATATTAGTATTATTATCTAAAGAGAAATATAATTTATCTTCTTATAATACTTTATATATTTAATTACTATAATCTTCGTTAGTCGTTATAGAAAGTTAAGGTCTTAAAAGAATAGAAGGAAGTTAAAGCGTTATAAGACGATATTAATAAAATTAATTTAGCTATTAATACTAGCTATATTAGTAATATAAATAAAGATAATATATTTATTAATATAGATATCTTACCTTTATAAACTCGCTAGAGAATATATAAGGACGATAATACTTATATTAATATTAATAATAATTTTAAGGAGAATATATCTCGAAGCGATAATTAACTTCGAATCGATAGCTTTCTAAGCTATAATCCTTAGGCTAGTCCTATTATATATTACTAAATACTACTAGCTCTATTAATTATACTATTACTAATATCGAGTTCGCTATAGAACCTAAGAACTTCTATACTTACTCTTAATAATAGTTAACTACTACTATTAGGGAATAAAAGTAGAAGTCCTCGAGAATTTTCTACTAGCTATATTATTAAGTATCGTATTATAAAACGACGATAATTAGTAATATCGAAACTATTAGTAAGTAGGCCTAGTAGAACTTAGCTATAATATAGTAAAATCCTAAGGTTAAAATCTTAAATATTAATACTATCTATATTATTACGAGGCTTAACTCTAGTTATTAAAATTTCTAGTAGTATAGTATAAGGAAAACGAAGAGCTTACTAGTTTTTTTAGTAAGGATATACTTTTTAGTAATTTTATATTTTTTTATTTAAACTTAATTTTAAGTACTTTTACTAATAGACTTATTTTATATTATTTCTTATATTTTAGAACTATATAGAACTCTAGAGTAAAGATTAAGGACTCTAGTAGAGTCTAGATTATTATCTTAGCCTTAAGTAAAAAGATTAATTTATAAATTATAAAATACTATATAGTATAGTATTTTAATATAGCTAGGGTAATATATAGATATTTTTAGTAATTTAGGCTACTAAGACTAAACTTAATAGAAGTATAAACTCTATTAAGTTTTTCTAAGGACTAAAAACTCTATAGGGCTTTTTACTCGGATTATAAAAGGTCTACGAGCTATTTAACCTAATTCGTTACGTAGCCTAACTTCGTTAGTAATTCTATACCTATATTTAGGATATAGTCCGACTATTAAATATTTCCTTTATTATCCTAGTTAATACTCTAATACCTACTCTATTAAGGAACCCTATCTTAGTTAGAACTACTTATAGCTCGGATTATAATACTTCGTTAGTAATCCTATATCTATATTTAGGATATAGTCCGACGATTAAAGATTTCCTTTATTATCCTAGTTAAATACTCTTATATCTACTATATTAAGGAATCCTACCTTAGTTAGAACTACTTATAGCTCGGATTATAATACTATAGTACTATATATATACTAACCTACTCTATAGGAAGACGTTATAAATACGAAGGTTTAGGCGATAGTTTCGTTCCTCGTTATACGAAGTAGTAGAGGTACTTAAAGATTTAGCGATAGAAGAGCTCGAGACTATTAACCTATTTATACTAGCGCCCTAGGAGAAGTAAGTATATACGATTATCGACGAAACCGTAATAGGTAAGGTAGATACGGTAGTACGTATAGTAGTTAGTTACTTAGTACGAAATAGCTTAGTTAGAATCGGCGGAGCTACTTAGCTAGTAATATTAGTATATAGTAAGCTAAAGTATAGGACCTTTTACTCTATAATTAGTATATAATTATAATAGAATCCTTACTCTAGAGAACTTACCGCGATAGCGCGAGCTCTACGCTCATTACCACAACTTAGGTTTCATAGAATCGCGCTACTAGGAAGTAATAAGGTAGCGGTACTCTCTCTAAATCGACCACGCTAATAGTTAGGACAAGAATATATCTATTGTATCTATAACTCTATTAGACATCTACGAAGAGAGGGTAATATAGTAATAGTTATATAGACCCCGACACAAGACGACAATAAGTGGAAGAAGATCACCAAAGAAAAAGCATAAAAGGCCACTAGGTCGAAGGCCCGGCCGCCAACACAACGACTAGGGATGAAATCTACGATGCTTAACGTAGCATAGGCCAAACGGAGCATCACCAGAAGCTTACTAGAAAAGGTTGGAATACATTCCAAGAGAGTTAACACAGCATTACCAGGTAGACATACGAGACAGCTATCTAGAAGGAAAAGCATGAGGGCTATGTTACCAGCCTCCTAAGACCTTGGCTCCATATCTATATGGGAAGGAAAACCTCTCTCGAGGTATAGCTTCGCGAAAAAATCCCAAGTCCTAAATAGCAGGCATTCACCAATTGCGCTCAGAAATTCATGCTATTAGCACTAGCGTGTTGTTCTTCCAATACCGACTCGGATAAGGAAGGTTGGACTGCCAAATGGGAAAGTGCACCATGTTCCATAAGATAGCTCTCAATATCATCGTACACCACGCAGTCCTAATCTCGTCATCGCTCAAAGTCGCAGGTTGCAGGCCTTGCGAGTCCACTAAGCCAATGGTCTTCTCGCGGTAAGAGTCAACGATCGTGTTTTTCTCCATGGCTAGGTCGATGTAGCGATGCAGAACCTCCATGAGGATTTTGTGCAGTCCCCGGCCAGGACTAAAGGCCGACCTGAATTCGGGTCCTGTTTTATCAGGCCCATTTCGCTTGTTGTTATCAGGATTTTCGCGTACTTGCTTGTTTACTTCTTCGTGAACAGTAATTGCCATCTCGTGGTGAGCCGCGACTAGGTATCTATATGTAGGCATTGAATGTGGCTGGTTGAACTGGGTGGCAAGGTACCCGTCTACCTGATCGGATGCGGATTTGACTTCACGTAGGAAATCGTGGGCTTTTGCATCGAAGGCATTGGTGCCGATTAGGGGGTTGAAATCTCTCCTATGATGGAAAATGTGGCGGTACTTCTGCTCGAAGAAATTGAGCACAAGACAGACCCACTGGAGTTGGTTTGTTGCTGGACTTTGGGCCGCAGATGGGACGAATGTGAAAAAGTCAGTTGAGTCCTTCAACGCTGGCAATCTTTCATTGAGCCGCTGGCGGAGGAGGATACGTGCCTCCCGAATGGCTAGTGTAGAGTTGAGAAAATTCATAGGAAACGGAGGTTGGTATTTGACCACTCCAAGTCCTTCGACTGGCATAAAGGGACAGAGAAACGGCACAGAATCTCCGAAAGTGCGCCAGACATCACCCATTTCTTCGCGCTTGTGTGTTTTGATTTTGCGGAGATGTTGCTCAGAAACTCCGATGTCTTTAAAATGGGTTTTGATACCATCTACGAAGGCATGCTCGTTTTGTCCATCCATTAAAGGCCAATCTTCGCGCAGACCTAAGAGGTTGTGTCCGGGGATTATGCTGAAAGCAAGCTTGTCAGCACTCTCGCATGGGATGAACTTCGTATTAGCATGGCGGACGTTGTCTGCCCTGTCATTTGACGGGTCATACCGATACTGGACAATCATGCCAAGGCCCTGGATTTGCAGAGAAGAGAAGCTGTTCCCGAAGCCATCAGCACTAAATTGCCCGGGCTTCATTTCCTGGACCGTGAGCCGGAGTCGGAAACATAGTGTAAGAAGGTCACCCAAGCTGATGGAAGCAAAGGGCCGCACAGCATCAGGAGGTAAGAGATCCCAAGATCGCAGATGGCTTTCGATAGCAGGGAACAGTATCTGTCTATGGTCGGGACCAAGAAGGGCGCCTTTGATTCCTGGCCTGCTGTATATAAAGGAGAGCCCATCTTCTCTTTGATTAAACTTCTTCTCGTCCTCATAAAGTCGTTCAAGTAGCACCAACCAGCTAGCACTGAAAACGTGCGATCTCGGTAGTAATGTCTGCTGGTCTAATCGGATGGCTGTGTCAAGCGTGTTAAGAAACCGTTGCAGTTTACTAACGTTTGTCGACGAGTCTATTAGGGCTTTGAGATCTTCGAGCCTTTTGCCACTATTTCCAATGGCTAGGATACACTTATTAGATAGCCCCTGATGATCGCATTCGCTGTCCTCACGCTTGGATAGAAGTGACGTTTCGTTATGCGGATTGTGAAAGGTAAAGTGTGGAGTCGTGAATTTGGTCTCGAACCTGAGCTCAGCCCAATGAAAGACGCGGTCTCGACTGAGCGCAAACATGCCCATGACCTCTCTGTTCGTTCTTCGGAATCCTTCGGCAGTACCGAATATTGACTGTAGCAGCTGCCCGACCGATATAATTAGAGCGGTGAAGGAGACCACCAGCGCAATGGCTGTAAGTCCCACGGGTTCTGACATAATGGGTTAGTTGCTGTGCGCAGCCACAGACAGGTGTTTGGGTCTATGTAATGTTGGAAGCACGCTGCTTAGTATTCCTCGCTATCTAGGTGTAACAAACGTCTGAACTACATATGAGATCTGCTAGATAGCAGTCTGTCAGCCTGGGTGTGGCAGGTAGTTGTAGGCAGTGTAAGCAGCCACAAGCTAGTGCCAGTTTCCAAGCTATTCGAGACAAGGATGTTCGTCGATGAGAGGATTTTATTGTGGCCACTTGCGAGGGTAACGTCTTCAACCGTTGCACCCGTAGGCGTTATCTCTGCAGGAGTGTGTAGTCGCTGGTAGTAAGGGACAAAGCCAGATCGACCTAGACAATAGACGAAGTAGTTCTTATCGATAGAAAGATTTCTCACGTGATAACGCTTGATAGATGTTGGCGGAAATGATCCGCCGGACTGCGCTAAATGATCCACCGTATCACGTACCTACTTGCCAAGTGTTGGACCATGTTGCTGTCTATCTATTGGCGTGATGTTACGGGCCCTCTATGTGCACATAGGGTAGCTACATCCCAGGTAGCTAGGACGATGGATTCACACCTTCACGCCGTGTCCGGCGTGAGTACTGCACTGCATCACTGTCAGGAACCAAGATGAATCTAGCGCCGTACAGAAGACGCGTGAGAATTATCACACGCGCCCCGTACGACGCGCAGAAGGGCACAAAAAAGAGGGAGTTCGTTTGAGAACCACCCGAGTTACGCTTATCTACTTTATAGGTAGAACCGAATCGATGCCTCATCCTCGATTCCTGCGGAATATCCTAAGTGTAGGACAGGACACCTCAGCTTACTAGGGCTCTGAGAATCACCGGCACTGTGATCGAGGGTGCTGAAGCTACTCGAAGCTCGTCTCCGCATTGAAAAGAAGAACACCGACAATGATATACGCGTTGCGGTTCCCTCGCCGTACGCCGCCCTGGCTATGGTGAAGATATACGTATTACGGGGCCCTGCCACCGTTTTACGCCGCCCTGGCCATAGTGAAGATATACGTACGACGAGGGCTACTGTCTCGAGCCGCTCTAGTCGATCCCTACCTACTATCAGGCTTAGTTCACCATAACTGTCAAATTGTAAAAGGCGCATTGTGTTAAACCTAGATCTTGAGACACGTTGAAGGGTGTATGCTGAGCGGAGAGGAACGTTATCGCTTGCATTACTGAAGGATTCCGTATTGCTTATTGAGACTCATGTTTCCGGTTCCCGATTTCCGGTCCCTTGGCAAGACTGGAATTCGAGTCCTTACTAGTTTGGGTGGAACCATGTTGCCTAGCCGTGGGCCGAGAGTTACGGCCTCTAGCCCTCGTTACTAGTTACGTGCAGTAACGTTATTACATGATAACATTCCCCATTTGGGGCCCTCTTACGGCTAAGTCCCCGGGCTAGGAAATGACCCGGCCTAGTAATGACCCACGCGTCTCAACGCGTCTCTTTTTACCACTCCTCCTCTTCTACACCTGATTGCTCGTACAAACCACCTTTTATATAGCTAAAATGGCATCAAATCACGAGTCTCGAATCCAACAAGCCATCCTAGACTATGAAACCCGACGACATCCGACTATTCGCTCCGCTGCGGTAGCAAATAACGTAGACCGAAAGACCCTCGGCCGTCGACTATAAGGAGGTGTTTCACGGGCAATTACTCATGAACTATAATAGCTATTAACTAACGAATAAGAGTAGCTCCTTATACGATAGATACTCGACCTTAAGGGCTAAGGATACCCTCCTAGCTTTACTTAAATACGAGAGCTCGTCGTTATTATACGAGGCGAGTTAGTATTAACTATAAGTATTAGCTAAAAGTAGATATTATGATTTATATAGCGTTATTTAGAGATTTATTTAAAGGTAGGTAAAAAGATCTATAGATTACGCCTATAGAGTACTACTCCTAAGTCCTTAACTCGCTAGTTTAAGTATTTTAAGGCCGTATAAGAGCGATATTAAGTTCCCTAAGAGAATATCTATAATATAAACGGGATAGGTATCGCCCTAGGCGTCTATACTAATTAACGAGTAATTAGTAGGGTCGATACTACTTAATTATATAAAGTAATACTAGAAAACCGTAAATAGGTATCGATTATCGAGATAATATTAGTAAGTAGCCGTCGACTTTAATACCTTATTATACTTAAAGGAAATACGCTTTAATCGACCTAATTTACTAATCTAGACCTTCCTAACTACTCCTATACGGTCTTACTAAACGGCTAGACCTTAAATAATATTAGATTAGCCTAGCTACGATAGATATTTATACCTTAAACGGTATCGAATAATTATCGACTCCTCCTAGTCGACGAATATAAAAGTTACACTATATACGAGTTTATATAGGAATACTATATAAATCGAATTACCTTAGTCTATTTAATACCCTATACGAGCTATATTCTATAGCTACTTAATCTTACTTACTTTTCGCTCCTAAAATATCGTTATCGGGACGTATTAAGACTAAGCGATACCCTATTAACGCCTAGTCACGTAATTAGGCTTATATAAGCTAGGATTACGT